ATGGAATGAAAGTGGGATCGCTTTAAACAATTACACGAAGAATTGTCGTTTATTAAATGGCTTGAGAGAATTTCTGAGGTTAAAAATGAACTTCGATGTAATACAACAAGAAAAGAAACCAATATTTGTAAGCCAAAATATTTGTACATCTTCACCGAAAAGGAAGTGGAAATTGAAGAAAGTGCGGGGGATAAGTGAAGGTGAGATATAGCTAATTAAGGGAAATGAACATGGATTAAGTGAGAACTAACAATTAAATGTAATTCACAAAATGCAAACATAATTATCGTTCCTGATATATCATAGCAAAAGGATTCTATGAGAATAAAAGCAATGTTTTTATTTCTATGATCATTGTTGGACGAAAACCTACCCATTGTTGACAGCAGCGATATCTTAGCTTTCGTTGGAAAGGCAACCGATGTTTGTTCGAGTCTTCTGGGGCTCGAACATTCTACTTTTACCGTTGGGGTTATACATTCACCGCTGAACTACCTCAAACTGGATGTTGACAACCTGGTGGCTGGTTGTCCAATCTTTTTTTGGAAGATGTTCTCCTGCGGGACGTCGAGATGTTCTGACCATTGTTTAGAGGACCAGGTGGTGCTCTTCGTACGGGGAAAGGACCGTCATTTGCATGATTGAATTATACCGATTAAGCAGTCCAATTATATAGTCTGTTGATGGGTGAAATGAATTTTAACCCTATTTAAAAGCTTATCCAGTTCCTGATATATCGTTCCTGATATATCATAGCAAAAGGATTCTATGAGAATAAAAGCGATGTTTTTATTTCTATGATCATTGCTGGACGAAAACCTACTCATTGTTGACAGCAGCGACATCTTAATATTGGGAACAACTAACAGTACTCGATTACTCCACCAGGAGTGGATAACATCAATTTACAATTTCCTTTGCTTATGATTGAAGACGGTCAAATCGGTTTAGAAACTGCATTAGACTGATTTTTCTGTTCTGTCATTTTTTTGGAGATCACTTCTCAAAGAACATGGAAATGTTCGACTGCTGCTTATTGGCGGAGTCGTGAAAGGACGCTGAAATGTTCAACTGCTGCTTATTGGCCGAGTGGTGGTTTCTGCATCGGAAAAAGTCTCGATTTGCATAATCGATTGAACTGTACCATCTAATTAGTTTAATTACTTAGTCTGTCAATAGCTAAAATCAATTTTAAACATAGTTGGAACTGTGACCAACCTGTGTCGAATTTTCACTCTTAGTAAAAGTTTTCGGTAATTTTTAATACTTTT